TTATGCTAAGAACTGTTGATGGGCACCAAGGCGGGGCTTTCCCTGGGACGTGGGGGCTCAGGGCCACATGGAGTCTGTTGGGTCATTGCCCATGTAGCCACCTCTCTCTGGTCTGGCCCCACCAGCCCTTCTCCAGAGGACAGCTGTGGTTTCCTGCACATCCCTGACCTGCTCCTGCCTGCTATCCACGAAACAGTGGAGGACCTGCCAGGCAAGTGTGAAATGCAGCCTGCCACTCCCTCCCATTGGAGGTAGGCTCAAGTCCCAACACCAGGACCCACAGACCCCATCCGACTCTAACCTGCCCCTGCTGCTCTCCCTCCGCAGCCTTCCTCAGATCCCAGCCCCGGGGCCATTTGCACACTTCTGTCTATGGAAGTCACACCTTCAGACCTTAAGGTGGTTTCCTGAGAGAATCGTGCTTCATCCTTGGAAAACAGGACTCCTCACCTCCATTTCTCAAGCTTTCCCTTCCCTTCCAAGCATTACCATTTTACATATGTGACCATTTCATTTGTTGATGACATTTGATCAAGGGCTGGGTAGTCATGGTCAAGGATTCACTGAGTGCACACAGAGGTTCCGGAGGACCCCACTGCCCAGTCTGGTCACAGTTGTCCTCCTCTGTGTGGGCCACAAGTGACCAAGTCACCCAGGGCTGGCTGAGTCCAGTGCTGAGCCCTGGGTGATGAAGCTTGGTGTTTGGTCCTCCCCATGGGACCAACCACAGGGTCACGGGGTGCAGGGCCATGCTGAGCCTGGTGCCCTGTGGAGCCCCACTCACCATACACAGGCATCACTTTCCAGACACAGGGCATGTGCCCAGCATAGACCTGGGCTGAACCTGGCTACCTGGTGTCACCAGGAAGCTGGGGTCGGGTTTGAGAGCCATGCTCAAAGAATGCAGAGCAGAGACGATGCTGCCAAGGTTGAGGAAGAGTTTGGTGAGTGTGTGCCAGGGGAGGGATATTCCAGGAGATGCCTGGGCACAGAGTGGGGAGGGCTGGGGTGTCTGCTGTGCTCAGTGGGCCAGCGTGCCRGCAGAAGTGGAGGGGGCTGAAAAGTAGGGCTGGAGTCAAGTTGTGGACCACTGCAGTGTGGGACCCCGCAGTGATGCTTTAATCCTGGTACCTGAGGAAGAGGAGGTGGGAAGGCTGGTGCCAAGTTGCCAGGATCCAGCCCATCTGTGGGGAGCTGGAATTAGAACCCGAGTCTGCCCCCGCGAGGTTCCGGCAGTTTCCATGACACCCAGTCATCTTCTTCCACCCGCATAAAGCAAGTAGGCGCTCATGAGACTGCGGTTTCTGTCTTGGGCTAAGCTCGGCAGAAGAAGGATTTAGTCTTTGGGGCAGGGATATTTGATTCTTCCCCTACTTCTGGAAGAGGAAGGCCCAGCTGATTGAGTGGGCAGTGCCCCAGGGCCTCCGGTGCTTCACCCACTGTCACAGCGTTGGGTGGGCACTCCTGGTCCTGGGATGCTCACTAGTTGGTGCAGAGGAAAGCCCGCTTCCCAAGCAGGACATGGAGGTCCCTCCTCCTGGCACATGGCATCCTCTGGCCTCGGGTGTTTGCTTTTGAGTCTTAAGCTCAGGGAGGAGGAAGCTTCTAGCTGAGAGGAAATTGCCACCTGAGATGGTGCAAACACCCCAGGCGAGTTCTGGCTCACACCCTGCTCCAAGGGAAGGGCCTGAAGCCTGTGGGGCGCCTTTCCTCCTGAGTGCTGAGAAGTGCTTCCTTTTGCTCTCCCTGAGCCAAGGCTGAAGAGAGTCCACACCTATTGTGCGATGTGGGGGTGGTTCTCTCAGCCGCTTCCCAAGGCCCAGCCCTGGACAGCATCAGGAGCTCTCTTACCTGTCCTGTCACTTGGTTCTCACCACAGTCTCGCTCTCTATCATTTTGTCCTGGCTTCTCATGTCGGCTCTTGCAACAGTCTTCATACTGCTTGATGATTTCACAACCAGTCGGCTCTTTTTGATCTGCCCTCTTTAGAACATGAATCCAAGCAGAACTTGGGCTAGCCCACACCCCATCCAGCCTAGGGCAACTGCTAGTCTTCACTGTGGTGAGAAGCACCCATGTGGCTTCCTTTCACTCTTCATTCCCCACAAAGCTCTGCTCATACCAAAAACCTCTGTGGTCTCCACACAGTTCACTTTTTTCCCATTCTTCACAGTCATGCCATGACCTTAGGACCATCTGCCAGGAAGGCCAACCATCGCTCTGTCAAATGTGCAGTCTTGGAGGTTGCTTGGATCCTCTTGGTCTCATGGCACTCTCTCAGGGTGGGCTGTGTGAGGCCAGCACCCTGCTGGTAGGGGGCTTAGTAGCACCTTGGGCTGTATGTGCCCACTGCAGTGGGTAGCTCTCACCACGCCTGGCATTGTGATGTTCTGAGATGATTTGAACAGCAAGGATGTCTGTGCTCTCCTTGAGTTTACTTTCCAAAACCCTTCCCCAATTTAAAGGGTTCAGTTTATTCTCCATTCTCTGCTCTCCTGGGATTTCTTAGTTATGGAGGGAGTTTATAATGATGGCACTCACCTGGTGTCTTCTGGCTTGGGGCTTCTTCCCTGTAGGAGGCACCTTCCTGAAGAGCGCCGGGCATTGTGATCCCTGTTCAGGTCATAGGACCTGGCAGAAAGTCTGGTTAAGTGTCCAGTAAATACTCCTTTGTGAATCAATCCTCCATTCTGCAATGCAGAACTGATGAACGGATTCAAGCTCCTGACCTTGCTGACTTGACTTGTTCCTAGGCTCCTGCTCAGACTCTGTCCTTTTTCCAGGACAGCAGCAGGATGCCTCCATGAGTTGCAATTGCCTTCAGTGGGTCTCCACTGTGCCTGGCCTCTGACTGCCCATGAACCCTCTCAGCCTCTAGTGGCATCCGTCCCTGCCATCTCTTCTATTCTTGAGTGGCTGCCTGCTTTCCTCTGCCTGGCTCAGATGAAGAGCGTTTCACATGCTCTTCTTCCACTTGGAATCATTTTCTAGGTATTTCTTGGTTTTCTCACCCATCAAATCCCGTTTCAGATGCCTCCTTTTCAAAGGGGCCTTTCCTGACCTACTACCCCACCATCTGCTCCACCACTTCCTATCTTCCTTTCGGCCTGGGTCACTCTAGAGATCTTATTTGCTGATTTTCTGATTCCTTCCTTGGTCATGAAAGCTCCACGGGGCAAAGACCTGGTCTGCTTGCTCACCTCTCAGTGCAGGTCCTCAAACAGCTCCTGGCTCAGAAGAGGTGCCGGAAAGCTGAGGCTTAGCTGAGCAGACACCGCAGCATTTGAGAGCAGAGCTCTCCACACACCAGATGCCTAGAGAAGGGAGATCACAGAGCAGCAGGAGTCAATTCTCGTGCCCATCAGAGAGAAGCACAAGACCACCAAGGCGGGGGGTGCCCTGGCCGCTTTTCCTCCAGCAAGCCCCATGGGATGCTTCCCCAAACATCCCCTACAAGTATTAATCCTTTTAAGAAAGCCAGAAGTCACCGTCAAGGAAGTGAACGACTATGAAAGCTGAAACAGAATGATGGCAGGAAGACCTGCTTCTAGCAGAGCCAGAGCAGTCGGTCTGAAGCAGCCCCTGCTTCCCGGAGCAGGGAAAGGGGCATGTGACTCCTCGAGCMAGGTGCGTAAAACTAACACCATGTTTCCCTGTCAGCTGTGCCCCATCTAACAATAAAACCACTCTCTCCACTCTACAATTCAGAAATGTGCTGGCACATCTGCCTCCCTCAGCAAGCCTGTCCAGTGAGGACCCGCTGGCTCTGGACCCAACTTCTGTGGTAGCACCTAGGCGAGTTCCCTTCCTACACGAGGCGTGCTTCCTGCTTGGCAGCCTGCGTGGTGGCCAGGTTGTCTCAAGGTCCACTAGGCACACCAGCAGTTGTGAATCATGATTCACAGGCAGACCCTCTTCTGAAGTTCTGCTGTGGACCTTTTCAGCATCACGGGATCTTTCTGGGTCTTCTCTTATGTTCCCTGCAAAGCCTGGAGGTTTGGAGGCAGATTATATTTGGATGTCCCCCCTTCTTTTCTGAAATACTGTTTGGAGGCTTAGGATTACGTAGACATAAACCCACTGCCAGGCTGGGTGGTCGCTCAGTGGTAGAGTGCTTGCCTTGAATGTGTGAGGCACTGGGTTCAAGTCTCAGCACCACTAAATAAATAAATAAATAAATAAAAATCATCAACAGCTTTAAAATAAATAAAATCATCAACAGCTTTTGTTTTGTTTTGTTTTGTACCAGGGATTGAACTCGGGCATGAAACCACTGAACCACATCCCCAGCCTTATTTTTTTTATTTTATTTACAGTGATCCTCCTGGGATTACAGGCATGCACCATCATGCCCAGCACTAACACAGGTTTTTTTTTAAAAAATAAATAAATACATGAATAAATAATAAACCCACTGCCAATGACAGCTGGAGTCTGCAGTCTGCTCCCTCCTGCAGTCCCTTTTGCAGGAGGAGAGACTGTCAGCATCAGGCAGTTTCCATTCTGGGTATGGTTTCTGGAACACTCAGGTCAGTCACAGAGCTGGAGATTTACTTTCCTAGCCTGGTTTCTCATGGCTGCCAGCATTGGCATCTGCCGGACAGCTACCTCTCCCCGGCTCCCCCAAGCCTCTGGAGGTCACACCTAGAGACCCGCACTGGCCCACTCCTTCCTGGCAGGGCTGAGGGTCGGACCTCGGGCCAGGTGTGAGGAGTGTTTCTAACCTACAGAAGAGGCCCCCGGAGTCCTCCTGGGGCGCCTATGCATGACAGCCCCAGGCTCAGGGGCAGTTTGCCTTGGTCAGACCCCTGCTGCAGGAGCCGGGCTGCGCTCTGCGCGTCCTCTGTGACCCACAGACTGTAGTGTGGAGCTCTCTTCCTCTCCTCCAGGCCCCGGCAGGAGCGGAGCTGCAGCGCGGCCATCTGATTGGCCGGTTGGACCTGGCTGGGCTATAAAAGAGACCCCTGCCGGCTGCGGAGGGAGATGCTCCCAGGATTTCGACTCCACTCTCCGCAGAGAAGGGCCGAGAGCACGGGAAACGGAAGCCACAGCCGCCGCTCCCTACCGTCTCCCGCTGCGCACCCCACCCGCCTCTCGAGATGTGCAAGGGACTGGCGGGCCTGCCGGCCTCCTGCCTGCGGAGGTAAGGCTGCTGCAGGCGTGCCGTTCAGAAGGACAGCCAGCTGCTTGCTGAGTAGACTTGTAATGGTTCTCTGTACCAGATGCGGAGTGGCCAGGAGCCCTGCTGCTCTTGTTCTGTAGGACTAGTGGTTGTGGTGGCTGAGGGCGTAGGCCCCCAGATTTGGGTACCTGTGTGTGGTGGATGTCACTTGAGGAGACCTGTGATGACTTGGAAGCCCGGTCCTCTGAGCCAGGTGTTTGAGATTCAGGGGAGGCAGGTGCTCCAAGCCACACACAGAGGTCTGCCAGCCTCTGTGACCAACTGCCATCTGAGCCTCACTGCAGCACATGGGCTCGGACTCTGTGCTCCTGACCCCGCATATAGGTGTTCTGGGGAGGCACCCAGGAGAGGGCTGTAGCCTGGAGAAGCAGGCTCTGGTGGGTGCTGCACTGCCCTCTCTCTGGGCTATAAGCAAGTATCATGCTCCTTTCCAGGAGGCGCCTCCCCCCTTCCTGTCTCCAGCCCTGAAGTCAGCTAGGTCCGGTGGAAGATCTCGCCCTGGGGACATTGTTTTATCAATGTGCCAATTAAAACGAAAAAAGTCCTTAAAGCTTCGCAGCTGCTCCTCTGTCTCTGCTTTATTAAATGAGTGATTTTAGAGAATGCTCATCTGTTCGCAGTTGAGAATAAAAGGAAAGACTAGAGATCTTTCGTTATGAATCTTCAGTGAGGGTAACGTCAACCTGAGTTATATTAACTCCTCTCTTGTCTCCCTGCAAGTAGAAATCACATTAAATTTCAATTTGGAAATAAAATTGTTTTTCATGTGTCACTGAGGAGTTTACCTTTCCAACATTCTGCCCTCAGGGCAAGACCCTGCCCAGGCTTCTTCAGAGCAGCAGGGGTCTGGCAGGGGAAAGCCACTAGCCTCCAGCTCCAGTTCAGTCCAGTTACCTATGGAGTACACCTAGAGGGCTCGGGGTGGTGGGGATGGGAAGGCTAGCATGGCTCTGCCCTCAGCTGGCTGCCAACTTGACCGGGACCTGCTCAGCCCAGCTGCTGCGCATCTCCCCCAGTCCAGGCCCCAGAGGGCCTTACTGTTTCTGCCCACACGGATGGTGCCGTGAGGAGTCTGGCTCCCTGTATCCAAGGATGGCGAAGTCACCTGAGCTGGGCCCTCTCGGTTGTCCTATGCTGTGACGCCGCTCCATGGCATCTGGGCCAGCAGAGGCAGCAGGTGGAGTTGTGAAATGGCTTCTGTTGGCACTGAGTCTCTAACCAGACCCTCAGGACCAGTAGCCCAGGGACTGCTGTCATGGAGCAGGCTTTGCTGGAGGGGCAGAGGAAGGACCAGTGCTGAGGGCCAGGAAGGACCTCCTACAGGGCAGCACGAGAGACCACAGGTGCACTCCAGGCCGGCAGCCACCTGAGGGTCTTCCACGCTGGGTTCCATGCTTCCCTCACCAGCAGGAACGTCTAGTTATTTTTTCTTTTAAAATACCTTTCTCTTCTTAAATGGCTTCCTGGCTTTCACAATAAAAGAGGTAACGTGAAGACAGAAAATGATAGGGAGAGAGTGAGCCAAGACTCATTAGTAGTCCTCCCTCCTGCTCCTCATTAGGGGTCCTCCCTCCCACTTCTCTTAAGGGGTCCTCCTAACGCTCCTCATGGGTCTTCCTCCCTGATTCTCATTAGGGGTCCTGCTCCCACTCCTCATTAGGGCTCCTCCCACTCCTAATTAGGGCTCCTCCTCCCGCTCCTCACGAGGGGTCCTCCCTCCCATTCCTCATTGGGGTCCTTCTCTCTGCTCCTCATGAGGGGTTCTCCTTCCACTCCTCATGAGGGATTCTCTTCCCGCTCCTCATTAGGGGTCCTCCTCTCTGCTCTTCAGGAGGGGTCCTCCTCCCACTCCTCATGGGGAGTCCTCCTCCCAGTCCTCATTAGGGTTCCTCCTCCCTGCTCCTCCTTAGGTGTCCTCTTCTCTGCTCCTCATTATGAGTCCTCCTCCCTACTCCTCATGAGGGGTCCTCCTCCCAGTCCTCATCAGGGTTATTCCTCCCAGTCCTCATTAGGGGTCCTCCTCCCAGTCCTCATTAGGGGTCCTCCTCCCTACTCCTCATTAGGGGTCCTCCTCCCACTCCTCATTAGGGGTCCTCCTCCCTACTCCTCATTAGGGGTCCTCCTCCCTACTCCTCATCAGGGTTACTCCTCCTGCTCCTCATGAGGGGTCCTCCTCCCAGTCCTCATTAGGAGTCCTCCTCCCACTCCTCATTAGGGGTCCTCCTCCCACTCCTCATTAGGGGTCCTCCTCCCACTCCTCATTAGGGGTCCTCCTCCCTACTCCTCATTAGGGCTCCTCCTCCCACTCCTCATCAGGGTTACTCCTCCTGCTCCTTATGAGGGGTCTTCCTCCCAGTCCTCATTAGGAGTCCTCCTCTCAGTCCTCATTAGGAGTCCTCTTCCCTGCTCCTCATTATGGGTCCTCCTC